TGATTGTTTGGGTTTTTCGGTTCTTGCCCGGTTTTTGTTTCGAGACTTAGCCTACGACTTTCGGCTCAGCGTCTCCCCCTTTGTGTGTTTCGCTTCTTTTTATTCCACTTGAAAAACATAAATAAAATTCCGCTCCTCTGGCAATGTCAGATTTGCATTGTTTTGCGGCCCGATGTCTCGTTGTCAGGGGTTTTGGTGCTTAGAGAGGGCGAGCATGTGTCTGGAAATAGATCACAACTCAATCGATTTTACCAGTGGCAGTGGCCGAGTAAACAATGAAATAAATGTTATTATAGGCATAATAGAAATGTGAACAACGGCACGTACTAATCAAAGTCTGTCCAGTGGCCCGTGGGCCGTGGCCCTCGGGGCCGTGGGAGGACAAAATATGCCCGACAGCCTGTCGTTCTGTCCGTCAAGGCCAATGGGACCGAGGAATTGACAGATTCCCACTTGAGTATGCCAGCAATGTAGTCCGGGGAAATTGCATAAAAGCATGATTTAATGAATTTCCGGCAATAAAATAATTTAATTTTGGCCTAGTCAGTGGCAGCATGGGCCAGGAGCCGGAGGACTCTCTGGCTCATCATTAAAAACGTCAAGAGGCTTCCCGAAAACAGCTAAGAAGCAAAAAAAAAGTGCGCAAATCTCCGCATAATTTAATAACGTCAAAGTTGTGCGTCTCTCCATACACCCGCTGCCGCCCTTCCTAGATAGGTGGCCCAAAGAGGCTGTGCGTCGCATAATAAAATTCCAGGCAGCAAGCTGGCAAAAGCTGCCAAGCTGGCAAACTGGCAGGATGCAGAAGAAGACGCTTTTTGGGCCAGGCATGACTTGGCAGCGACATGCGAGTACATGGCAGCCGGGCTAATCTATGAGATGTGCGAGGTGCTGGCACCTAAGCCAGCAGCTTTGATATTTCAGCATTAGCTCCATTAAAGTCAACATTATGAATTTTAATTTCGTGCACTTTATGGCGGCGGCCACATAAGCCGTGTCTGTGTCAATTAAGTGGCAAGACGTGCCAAGGACACAACCTGGCAGGTCTTCCTGCATTTGTTGGCAGCCCCAGCTCCTCCTCCTCCAGAGCAGCCAACAATTGCTGGTGGCTGGGAAAACAAAGCCACAGACACAAAGTTGAAAGCCAGCAGGCAAGGGCAGGGAGCAGGAAGCAGGGAGCTGAGACTGATTCGGCAATCGCCTTACAAGTGCAATGTCAATTTGTGCACAAAAGGATAATAAGGATTTATGTCAAATGCTTGCGCTGTTTGGGTCTTGCCAATATTTTCACAGATGACTGCACTTGCTGCTAGTGAAAATAAAACGCGGCTTAAGCACCAGCCACTGACTGGAGGAGTGGCAGCCAAAAAATTCAGAGAACTCTCTTAAGAGAGCTGCCCAGACTAAGCCTGAGACTCGTGTCTGTCTGAAGGGCGTTTGCTCAATCTGCTGGCAAAGTTCAACGGAAAAGTTCACCGATCGAACTTTGCACTCAAGCACCTAATGGCTACTTAACTTATTAATTTCCTGTATTAGCAGCAACATTTCCACAAGCGACTCTCATTAAAACTGCATAAATACGAGTACTCCAGCCGAGAAGAGACGAAACGGGGCAGGCCAAGTCTTTGAAAGCAATTTTGCCAATAGTCCAATGATGCCCTAAACCAAGCCGCAAAACTCACTTGAAAAGTTCTTAACTTTCAACAGCAACAACAAAAACAACAGCAACAACCTTAATAGCCCGAACAAGCCCAACTTTCGCTCAGAGCTCAAAAAGTGCGCTTTGATGCTTTTCACAAGTTTTTTAGTGATTTTTTTCATGTTGTAGCCTGCTTTGGGGTGCCGTACAAACCCGTCCATACACAGACAGGGAAAGGGGCAGAGCCATGGGCAGGGACAGGTGCAGACGAGGGACCACCAAAAGCAATCAGTTTGCGGTACACAATGTGGGCCAACAGAGTGCTCCAGAGTTAGGATACACAGTCCCCCAGCTTTGATAGAAATCATGCTGAGTTGTGAAACGTAAAATTGAATTTACTTTTGCAGCATTCCGGCAACCCCTCCGAACACACACATTACCCACCTCAGAATCACACCAAAGAGCATGTGATTTTCCATGTGGCAGACAGTTTTTCACGCTTTTCACCACCAATTCGGACAGTGGACAGTGAAACTTTTGCCGACTCAACCCGAGTCATAAATCATTAGGCATTTCTTCCCATATGCAAACGGTCTCTGGATTCGGCCTTGCCCAGTCTGTCCTTCTGCCTGTCTGCGCGCGTGTCCATTGTGGCATCTTCATTGGTGTTATCACTAATCCCAGCATTAAATTCGGCTTTGACTTTCATTTACTAAAGATATAATACAAATTTCCGCACTATCCTTGGCTGTCTGTCTGGCCTTGGATTGGGGGGGGGGGTCTGCCTCGTGCTACCCACCTCAAATGTACAACATTTCCTTTGCCCGGCAAAACGGCAAAGTGGAAAACAGAATTTTGCTGGTTCTGCAACAAAAGTTAATGATTTTGTTTTTGTGTGGTTGTGGGTGTGTGTGGCGGAAAGCTTATTCAAATTTATAACTCCATTCGGTTGAGTCCCGCTCCTTCTGTGGAATTTCTCTGGCCTTCTGCGGTAATCAGCTTAAAGTGGAATTGAATTCAATTGAATTGAATTGAGTTGTCTGCCGGTTGTTATTGTTGTCTGCATTGTGGAATTGTTCCTGTAACTGTTGTGGCATTGGTCATGTTTGCTGCTGCTATTCGTGTTTATTTAAATGTAATTAATCTGTACAGTGCTCCCAGGTTCACTCTGAGGTTATAGCTTAGGCAATTAGTTGGGGGTGAGCTTGCCAGACGAAGAAGAACCTGCGGCAAGACGGGGGAAAATCTCGTTTCCCACACTTTGCTACTCAAATGATAATCCTTGTTTTGCCATTACATTACCGGCTAAGGCTCTGCTCTGTTCATTGTGGCTAGAGTAAACTTAGCAAAAGCAGCTTAATTAATAATGAAGCTAAGTAAATAAACATCTTTGGGCAAAGCGATTGGTATAAAAACACAGTGTAGATGCAAATAAATGTTTTAAGCATTCACAAATACACGCTGCTAAAGAGCTTTTAACTAATTATAATTAAGAGCAATTAAGTTTGTGTCGTAAATTTCTCAGAGAGAGAGCTTACGCATTCAAATAGAAACATTATTAAGAAAGAGCAAATTACACATTAAAGCAAGGACGAAAGCAGAGAACTAAAACAGCTTGCTGGTAATAAAAGTGTTGAGAAAATTATCTTCCCTTGGTATATTCTAGGAAAGGATACATTAATATTTTCAGAAACAGATTGGACATGTTAAACCAATTGTATCAACTTCAAGCTTATTATTCCCAGAAATTGTACAATAAATACAGCCAAGATGTGCTCATCGAAATGCACAAAATTAAATGATTAAATCTTGCAAAATCAAAAAGGCAAAATAAAAGCCCCTCAACTTTAAAGAGCGACAAGGTCTGAAGGTTGGCTTTTAAATCAAATTGAATACAAGCGAACCCCAGTGTAATTAATCCAATTTCCTTGTATCATATTTCACACTTAAAAATCAAACTCTGGCAATTTGTTACACTCACTCGTACCGCACGCACCCGAAACCGAAACCAAAACCGAGACAACGATACACATGAGACGCCAGCGAGTTCGCTTGGATGTGTATTGGGTCCATGGGTACCATGGGGAGGTGTGGACTGTGTTGGAGTGTGTTCGGTTAGTACGTGAGCCCAGCTAAAAGTTGTGCAAATAAATGGCACTGAAATTTTATAGCACACTTGATAATTTCAGCAATAATTCAGCGCAGCTAATCACCGCATAAATAATCTTAAGGACAGCAAAGCTTAGCCCAAGCTCCACACTCCGAGCCATAAGCTCCTCGCCGCAAGCACTGGCAAAACAGCAAAATATATCTATAGATAGATTTTTATATATTTATGTCTATCCATTGGACAGTATGCATAGTGCAAGAGGCGAGAAAAACAAACATTAAGAGACTGACGGACAGAGACAGGAGAGAGACTGTGCCAGTGACTGGGATTGGGACTACGATGGGGACTGTGACTGGGCCACGGAGTCTAACATTGCGCTGTCTAAGCGGCAGAACAGGGGAGCAAATAAAAGCAACCAAAACTCATGAAATCGAGAACTCGGTCGAATGGAACGTGAGCGAAATTTTTGCTAACGAATGTTGACTTTGCCAAAGTACTAAAATCAAATAACAGCAACAGCAACAGCAACGGCAAACGTTACAGCAAATCAAACAAAATCAACAATCACTTGGTAAAAGTTAGCACAAGTTGATGAAGACAAACGTTATGTATACGAATGTATACGGAGCAACTTGGTTGAGCAACTATTTGGCCATAATAATACAACAACAACAACAACAAAAAATTAATAAAAATGGCCCAAACAACAAGCTGTCTGTTGTCTACTGCCACCCCGAATTCGTAGCCAACTTGTGGATCTTTCAGTATTTAAGCCAAGTAAACAAGCAACGCAAATCCATAAAATTAACTCGCCGCAGAAGCGACAGCAGCTGGCAGAGTCAGCGCCAGTCTCCAGTTTCAGTTTTCGCTCCGAGGCTCAGAACCGGAGTCAGTCCCAGTCCCAGTCCCAGAGCAAGTCCCAGTGCTCAGTCCCGGTTCCTGTCTGTCAGAGAAACTGGCAGAAATGTAGGTTAAACACACAAACACAATAAAAGTGGATACAGTGCGTATACGCCGCATGTGCCACGCGAATAGAAGAAAGGAAATAAAAAGCGACAGACAACAACAAAATAAGAAATTTAATGCGAACGCTGCGTGAACCAAAAGTTTTAAACCAACACAAAAAAACAGCATTGGGAATGGCTATAATTTGTATAACTTTATGGCGGCACAAGATGGAAGGCAGCAAAACACCCAAAAAACACACACACAAAAAACGGAGCGAAATAGAAACTTGCTTGAATAATTTACCAGAAATTGTTGAAGACTCCAAGGATTCCGAACTCGAACTTAGTATATGCTTAGATGTAGTTTAGCTAGGGAATAGACTTAGTTAATTGGAGTGTCACAGCTTGCACAAGTTTGTATTTCTTTGTATTTATAATCCTCGAATTTTTGTTTTTTCGTATCCTTTATGTTTATTTCACTTTTATTTGTATTTTTTTGTTGCAATACAATTTTCTTCTTTTTGCTGTTTTCTGTTTTGCGCACAAAACGATTCGCTGGCCCAATGCGGTACACCGCGTTCTTTCCACTTTCACTGCCAAACCGACCGTTAAATTCAACGTTCGCCACGCGTCTGACGGACTCGCTCGCTGGCCATCAGATATGCACGGAGGCTGTGCACGCACCCAAGCCAGCATCGTGGAGTCCTACTCGGCTCTGGCTCTCGCCCTGCTTCGTCCCGATTCGTTTGCTCTAGCTCTCGTTTCCACTCGGAAGGTGTGAGAGAGAGAACACCTCCAATTCGCCGCGTGGGTGGCACGCTATCAAAAAGTTGGCTATGGTCAGGACTAAGAGAGCGCGGACAAAAAAAGAGCGCAGCGGGAACAGCTGAGCGTAGAACAGTTTCAGAAACCAACCGAAGAGAGATCTTAATGCAAGAGAATACACACAATTCCTGTTGCGATTCGCAAAAGTAATTTTAATTACTGGGAACACATTTTTTCAAATCTAACAGCTGTTTCCCGTGTCAGTGCGCAGAAGCAGCAAAAATGCTAGAAATAAAATTGGTTGCAAGTGGGAACAGTAAACGGCATCTTGACGGGGGGAACTGTGCTACAGGAAACAAAACAACTTTTGTAAATAAAGTTAATTGCGAAATCTAAGAATAGTCAAACAGGCTGGTCAATAGGTAAGTCATTGTTGAGATACGCATTGAGCATGTTTCTTGTTGCTTGAAAGGATGCTTACCTGCCGGTAACTATTTGTTTTGTAAGTATCGTTAAATGCAGTCCAATAAACATATCGCATCGAAGGAATGTAAAATAACGAAGAGTTTCATTGAGGTAAGTTGGACGTTTCTGATATGTTTTCAAATATTTTTCAAACTTCCAAATTACTACTCAACATTTTTTTCCAGCAATTAACCTGAAGAGACATACTGATGTGATTCTTAAAATATACTTTTGTTTTAAAGTGCAGGTGAAAAACTTTCAGCACTCTGGGAATGTGATTGTTCTTATCTTTGTGTAATTTCAAAGTTAAGCATAGCATCAGCATATTTTATCGTTCTGTTCTAAAACTGCTGCTTAGCGGTGGGGGAAAAGGCGGTTGCGAAAAGTTAAATCCAGCTGGCTTCAAGCTAATAACAAGACAATAACTTACATTCAAAAATTAAACAATTCCGAGCTGTAATCCCTCATCCACATCTCACACACTTAAGTAATCTCATTTTAATGGATTACTTTATGAAACGCACCAGCCGTTGCCACCTCGCGGTTCCTCAGTGCCGGGACAGCAATGTTTATCAAAACAAAATTCTTGAGGCACTTGCACACATGAATGAGTGTGCGAAAGACATAAACCAGCGAAGGCGCTAAACGGGCCAAGTCACAGATCAATATAATGAACCGAAAACGTAAGCCCAAAGCCGCAACAAATTGCCAGTGCCCAATCCGGAGTGCAGAGTCCGTCCGTCCCCTTCGCTGCAGTGGCTCAATGTGGACTTTGATTTAAGTTTTAGCACTGCCGCGCACTTATCGAGCAATTGAGCGCTCCAAGGGATGGACGTGATAGAGCTGAGTAGAGAATTGATGATTGAGGAAGGAGAATGTTAGTATGGCCAGGCCATATGCGGCATTCGAATGAGAGTCGAAAAGTTATTTGCAATATGGGAATCGATACAAGTACGGGCCACCCATAGATGATATACGAGTGGTCCGTGTGTGCATGTGTGTGTGTGTGTGTGTGTGTGTGTGTGTGTGTTGTATAAGGGTATCATCCCAAAGTGCACATCATGATTTTATTAAATGGACTCTGATGTATTTATTGTCCAGCAACAACGTGACTTGTGAATTGATTTCATTAAACTGAAAAAGTTAACAAAGCAGCGCTTGGCTCTGCTCCGTCCTGCCTGTGCTGGCAACATTTTTTGGACAAAGTTGCCCTGATAGCAGGGAGTCGGTCGAGCTATATTTCGCTATATAGATAAATATTTTTTTATAGCTATACGGGTTGTCTGTGTATCTGTGTGTGTGTTGGCTTAAGGACATCTATCGTTAGTGGCCGAGAGAAAGAGAGATGGAGCGGGTGGGAGGACAGCGGCGGTCGAGCTTCAATGACCAATGGCAACAGCAGCGGGCATCGAGCGTGGAATATCAATGTGGTCGACTGGATGAGCAGCCCGGCCATGACAGGATGGGACCCGGACGGTCCAGCAAGAGTCAGGCCAACTAACTGACTGACTGTCAGGCTGGTCAGAATGGTTGGACGGAACCTCAGCTCGTCAGTCTGTCTGTCAGTCAGCTTTTTGTTGACCCCTGTTTGCCACAAATTGCCAAATTGTATACGAGTATGTGTGCGCATGGATGGGAGCCGCGTGTGCGGCTTTGGCTGCCTTCATTTTGTACAAATAATGATGATAATGTTGATGCGGCTGTTGACTTAACGCTGATTAGCCGTCGTCCAGAAATTTCGTATAAGCAATTGCAATCCGACCTTAGCCTTAAAGACTTAATTGAAGCCTACCCACAGAGATTCGCCAGCAATTTGTCAGCGCACATTGCGGCATGGAGGCATTCAGCCAACGATCCACGGATGACGCTGGGAAAGGTATGAACAACATTTCAGCGCCTTTGTACTTGGAGCGTCCTTGGCTTGCGATTGCACTCAAACAATTTATATTAAATGCGCTTTTAATTGCAGTCGAGAGGCTCCAAAGGCATTTCAATGGAACGCCTGTGCCTGTGCCTGTGCCTGCTCCTATCCTCGTCCCTGACTCTGACTCTGGTACCAATGCGGCGTATGCGTGATGCTTCAATGAAAGCTAATTCTGCATTAAGCAAATGCCTCCCCCCATGCTGCTTCTAAGCACATGGAATTATAAGTGAAGGGCGGACAGAAATGGGAAATGAAAAATTGCCAAGTAAAATATAAGCTCAGACTCTCCTCCTATTTGCACTAGACAGACATGGGTGGGCTGCTTGGTCTGTGCTCAAACTCCTTTCCCCCCATCCACTCGTACGCGATGTTGTTGCTGTTCGTGCATTGTAAGTTGTCCTGTTTTATAAATGTTGGCGGCAAGAACCACTTACATGAGCCATTTGCATCATATTTCTGTTGTCATTTGTTGACATTTTACTTGCCTCGTCTAAGCGCTCGAGTGTACGTTACATACGAGTGTGTGTGTGGCTATCTCTACCCTGTATCTCTGTGAAGACATATCCTTAATGTGCAGTCATTATTTTTCAAGAAACAAGCTCAGCAGCAGGCCGCCCGAGAGCATAGTGCAAAGGCAGCAAGCAGCAGGGCAAATAAAAAGCCAAAGCAAAAACGTTTTGCACACAAAGCTACAAACAACAACAAAAGTAGAAGTACAAAAAAAGAGATAAATTATGAGAACGAATAATGAGATACTCTTGCTAGCAGATAATTGCTAAGGGAGCAGCCTATTTTACAAATAAATTTTAAATTCGATCTTCGTTCGTGTCTTGCATATAACTTTACGTTTTTCCTCCATGATACTTATTTCAACTTTATGGCACAATTTGTATGCATAATGTAAGGGTATGCCATGCCCACTCCTAGCCGCAAAAGCACCTCCCACCATTGCCCGTTTGTTGTGTGGGCAGCAGCTCCGCCAAGCAAGCCAGAAGGCAGAGGGAGAGACAGAGACAGCGGGGGGCAAAGGGTTTTCTCCTCATTGTTTGCCTTTGGCCTGGGCCCAGAACTTGGCTAATTGCCTCGGCCCCGACTATCGTTTTTCACCAATCAGGCGAGTGAGTATTAATTAATTATCTTACCATATGCCATGCTGCATTGAAAGCTGAATTTTCGCTGATTTTTATTTAACTTTGCACGCTAATTAGCGTCCATTTTGATGCCTTCGATAAGGGTTAGGGGCAGGGGCAGACCCGGCCGGTCGTGTTTGGTTCGTGGCACAAACTGACTGTCATGGCTCAACTTGAGACTGAAGTTTTTCTGTTACATCGATCGGATCGAGCGAAGATGGGGTAAAGTTTGCGGAAACTTTTCCAGAGCTCTTGGCTTGTTTTTTTCAGTTAGCAAATCTCTATTGATAAACAGTTGATTTATGCTACCATTGAAGGGAATGTACTTGAAGTATTTGAAGTTCTGCACACTTTCGGCCCACTCGCCCGAGGGGCACATACAAATTGCAATGTAACACGTTCAATGTTAATTAAAACTACTAACAGTTTTTTCGACTTTAATTAAATTTAACTTTAATGAATCAATTCTTTGTTGGCACACCCGCCCTAACAGCCCAGATATGGAATATCTAAAAATTGCAAATGCATTTCAATTTAAATTGATAAAATCCATTTATTGACCAGAACAAGAATCCTTTTCATTTGCATACACAATTCAATTGACTGTGTATGAAATATTTAGATAGAGACAACAAAAAAATTGCCCATTTTTATGGCTGTATGGCTATCGTATATCAGTATTTGTTATGTCTCCATTTAGGGTGCTCCATTAAAAGAGCAACGACAATTAACTGCGACTGTTTGAACTTTAAGCTGAACTGCGAAATGATTACAAATGAAGTTACAATGATGCTACAAATGAGAGCCTCCTTCCAGCCTAACAGTTCAGTAAATTCTGCTAATGAAGAATATTAAAATATATCTACTAAATAATAGTTAAATTTCAAGTGGAAACCTGCAATATCTGCTAATAATTCGAATCATATTCATATCATATTTTAGACTGTTTTCAATCAGTCTTTAAGATATGCTTTGTGGGTGCGCTTTGTGACTTGTTCTTTCCGGTAACGTTCTTTGTATTTACTATATTTATTCATTCAATTTATAACTCAACAACAATTAACTAAAAGGCTGTCCAAGTTTTGAGCTTATTTTGCCTGGCGTCTGCCTGTCCCCCTTCCCTTCGCCGACAATTTGTTTTATTTCGTTTGGTCAGCATCGGCGCCGTAATGCCGCTTGCACTCCTTTTTTCTCTGTTCTGTTCTTTGTGCTCTGAAAAAGTGCAATAATACTTTTTTCCGCCCTTTATGTTATCAATTTTTTTCGTTATTCTCTTTACTCTTTGCTTAGGGGTTTGTTTGCTTTTTCAGGCTGTGTTTTATATTCTATTAGCAGGTCAATTTATGATTACGGCGTCTCCACA